ATGGATTGGGGGCTACAATCACGCCGCTCTGGACCAACCATGCCCCGGCGCGTAGGGCAGTGCAACAGACGTGGAACGTGGCACACGCTTGGAAACCGGCATCACGATCCTTTTTAAGTGGTGGAGAGGAGTTGGGGTTGCTGTAATGTAAGGAGCGTGAGGCGTAGGTCTGGTATGCTTACGTTGCGGCACGAGAAGCGTGGAGGAGTGGCGGTGCGGCGTGTCATCATTTGCCTCCTAGGTAGAACTCGAACACCACGCTCTCACCGGACGCTCTCACAAGTACCCCCATAGTCCATATCACCGTGCGCCATGTGTTTCCAAAGATGAATTACGCGCTGAATGGTTTTGCAGAGGCCCACCTAGGCAGTTTAAGCGGGGTGTCTGCGGGTGCCCGCATCCTGCGCGGCTCTGCGGCTCTGCGGCTTTTTACCGACATCTCATAAACACCGCCATTCTTCTCTTCTCAATGTTCAGAAACACCAACTGATACAAGCTCTGTCGCACTGAACTCAGCCGCAAATTTCAAACCCAAGGACAGGTTGCCAGGCTGCCTCATAGCCATTGGGGCCGCTGGCCGGTCAGCCTCGCTGGCGGCCTAAACCCACAAGTTCAGGGAAGCGGCCCCATGCGTCGACACGCCTACTACTTGAGTCAAGCAACTTCGCAAGAACTTGCTGTGAGTACCGTCGGTCGCCACATTTTCCTTACTCAGACAATGCGTCTTTTGTTGGTGTCAAAAATAACTATCGCAGCGCGAGCCGATGTTAAGTAGCGGTTGGTACCCAGGTAGCGGTCAATTGCGTGAAACCGAATCGCATCGGATGCACTGCTCACATCAAACCAGGCCTATCGGGAAGCATTGGAGTCGCACGGCATGGTAGGTTCAATAACCTCATCGCATACATCACAAGCACATGCCGATTACTATCGTGAGAAAATTGGATTATCATTAATCTATCGTGATCTTCTGTGAATCATGTAGGAGCTCGCTGACAAAGTCAAGTAAGTCCATTATTCGTAGCCATATGTACGGCTATCATGTCGTAAACGCTTAAGCAGGAGGAGAGGTAGGCTCAGGGACGCCGGGAGGGCAGTGCCAGTGGTCGTCGTGAGGCTCGCAGGCCTCAGCGGGGGCAGCAGCGGCAGAGGTGGCGGCGGCAGAGGCAGAGGCAGGAGCAGCAGATGCAGAGGCAGTGGCGGAAGCAGTGCTGGTGGCAACAGCGGAAGACTCTTCCTCGAGAGCGGTGTAAGTACCGGGGCAGCCAACACCGGGAACGACGATGTCGTGAGCGTAAGCCTCAAGAGCAAAGTACTGGAGAGTGTCGCTGTTCCTCGCGGCGTAGGTAGCGTTGTTCTTGGCAAGAGCGATGGTTCCGGGGTACTTCTCCTCTTCCTCGTCGTTGTAGTGCTCGACGACACCCTCACCAACGGGGGGAAGGTGGAGCAGACGGTGCAGAAGGTCAGAAGCCCAGAAGGTGTTGGTAGCACCGTTGGCGACGTCGTATCCGAGCATGCACATGGTGGAAAGAGGCCTGCGGATCTCGTAGGACAAGTCGCAGATGACAGTCTCGGAAGTCGCGTTGGAGCCGCGCCAGTGACCGGCCCAACCCTCCTGGTCGCAGTTGCCGTCAATGTTGTCGCAGCGGAAGAGGATGCCAGACTTGTCGCCGTCGGCAATCTTGGTGAACCAACCAAGGGGCTCACCAGTGGGAGCTTCGCCGAAGTACTTGGTGTAGACCTCGGAGTTGTTGCCGAAACGGAGGATGTGGTCGCGGGCATGGCTGACGATGGTCATTGTCTCATCAAGACCCTTCTGGATCATGCTACGCTGGGTAGCGTTGCAAGAAGCGTGGATGGGGAACTGGTGAACAGCACCGGCATCCCAAGCTGTGGCAGCAGGAGCAGCCTCGGCGGTGTGGGTGACGGTGACAGTTGCCTGGCGAGGGGCAAGAGGTCCGGCCATGGCGACGGAGGCTCCAAGGAGCATGAGAGCAGAGGCACGAGCAGCCATTGTGAGATTGATCTGAGAGACTTTGAAGAGGTCTTGGGAGTTGATATGCGAACCGGAGTTCAGTGAGTGTCCCGAGAAGCTGGTTGCCGGATGCTTGATGGAGATACTTGCAGACGAGCTGCAGGCCTCTTTATATTCTACCAGAATGACATCTCACCACTGAGGACTGTTCCTCTCGGTGCTCATGTACCGACGTCCCCGCAACCTCGACCGCCGAGACGTGAAGAAAAAACGCCTCATGGCTGCAGCCGCAGGTACATCAACCGGTATACTGCCGGTCTATCACCTTTCCGGAGATGCAAATGCTACACTACACGGATCTGGAGGCTGATCTATACCTTGGCCTGACGTACAATTCGAATGGTGGAGCTTGGCATGGAGGTGCATGGGGGCCTGGGCGACATGTTTTCCACTCAGAAGGTGGATTTATGGGTATGTAAGTACCATGATGGGCGCCCAATGGCGAGAAATTCTCCCACCCAGGAACATGTTGTCGGGAGGATTACCTGCGTTCGGGAAGGCCGAAGATATTTATGTGGGTGGTCGCTATGTTCCGAAGCGGCCTCCCACGCGATATGTCATGTTGAGAGTGAAGCAAGGTAGAAGTACGATGATTATCGAGTCACTGTTCTCCAACGGGGCTGGCAGTTATGTAACCTGTTTCCCTGTACAACTCTTAGGCAGCTTCAACAATTCTTACTGGAAACATTCAGATGACTGCCATATTGCAAGCTCTGAAGGTTGAACGACGAAAAATGATACTAACCTCAACGCTTGTAGATTCATCGGAATGTTGGAGTTGTCAGACCTGGTGTTAGTGCTATGCGCCGAAGAGCCTCCTAGCCGTGGAGGTCACGGCTACTACGATGCCTCCCCAACATACCTCGCCAAGACCTCCGCCACCTAAACTATCGCGCTATCCCACCCACCTACTGCATCTGTAGCGAAGCCGCCTACCTAAAAGCATTTGTGTAGCCTCTGATTCGACGTTTGCTCCGAGACAAGACTTATGCCAAGGTAAACCATCCAACAGGGTACTCAATGCCAAGACCGCCCGTGGCGCTCAGTGTGAAGCAACGGCAAGCCCAGAGACAAATGGATACCGAAGAATTCTTCGCGGGATCCTTGTGGGGGGCTGCCTTGCCCCATCACGGTACATGCGTTCCACTCCGCTGACACGACGAAAAGCTTGAACGAAGTCGATATATCAAGGGCCTGAGCTGGTATCACCTTGAACAGCTTTACACCCGTCGGTTCGCTCGTTAAACATATCCGGTAGACCCTGAACATTCATTCAGCCATGCGCTCTACCCTCTCTGCTGCAGTCCTACTGCTTGCGGGCTCTGTCGCTGCGCAAACACCCACCGTCACTGTCACTCAAGCTGGCGCGACTACCACCGTCTTCACTACCGGAACCCCCTCCATCACGGCTGTGTCATCATGCCATCCCCATGAGACTGTTCTGTATGTCTTCCCGTTGTCAACTTTGGCTGGTAGAGTTCGGCGCTAACTTGCAACAGCTACTGCATGTTTGGCTCAGATGAGTTCCAGGTAGTCGGGCCCACTGCGACAGAAGAGTTCCAAGCGGAGTACACGCAATGTCACAAGCACCAAACCGACACGTAGGCACCACCCATCACAATGTTTGACGAGATGCTGACTGGAGAAGATACTGTGTCGACGATGCCGGCGAAGATGTCCTGCTCATGACCGAGGCTGAAGAATCGACAGAAGGCTCCTCGCACACGGGCGAAGAGCCAGCTGCTGAAAGTGAGCCAGCAGGAAGCAAGGGACATTGCCACGACCACGCCGGTGTTGAGCACTGCGTTGGTGGAAGCGCATCCGAAGTCAACTGCGATGCTCCCCAGCGCGACTACAACATCCCCCTACGAGTCGGTCTGCTCTTCGTCATTCTCTTTACTAGTGGACTTGGTGTATTTACCCCCGTATTGACCCGGAAGTTCAACCTCGTTGGCGCCAACAACATCGTCTTCGTCGTCCTCAAGCAGTTTGGAACCGGTATCGTCATCTCCACTGCATTCGTCCATCTCTTCACTCACGCCCAGCTCATGTTCGCAAACCAATGTCTGGGTGTTCTGGAGTACGAAGCCACCACCGCTGCCATCTTCATGGCTGGTTTGATGCTGTCCTTCCTGGTCGACTACCTCGGTGCGCGCTTTGTCCAGTGGCGCCAGGGAAAACACACTGCTCCCAGCACCGAGGTGGCAGCTAGTGGAGACAAATCCGGAAACAGTTCTCCTTCAGCAGAACCCACCCATGACTTCAACCGCAGTCATGGCATTGCCCACGCCCATGGTCCGATGCGCGAGGCTACCCCCATGGAAGAGAAGATCAACGTAATGAACCTAGAGGCGGGTATCATCTTCCACTCCATCCTCATCGGTATCACGCTTGTCGTCGCAAGCGATGGATTCTTCATCACCCTCTTCATTGTTATCCTCTTCCATCAAATGTTCGAAGGTATCGCTCTTGGAACTTGCATCGCCGAACTCCCCAAGGCTGCTGCTGGTACGGCACAGAAGCTCCTTATGTGTGGTACGTTTGCGCTCATTACACCTATCGGCATGGCCATCGGTATCGGAACGCTAGACCACTTCAACGGCAACGACCCTAGCACCATAATCGCCATTGGAACACTCGATGCACTTTCTGCTGGTATCTTGACATGGGTTGGACTTGTGGAGATGTTGGCGAGAGACTGGATGCACGGAAAGTTGCTCAACGCGGGTGCTGCCAGGACCATCAGTGCCTTGTTCGCGCTCATTTGCGGTCTGATTCTCATGAGTGTTCTGGGCAAGTGGGCTTAGCCAAGCCGTTTTGGAGGAGTGTAAGACTGTACGATGCTGAAGTAATGACTTTACGGTTCCACGTTGGGATGAGTGTTTGGGCTCTTACTTAGGCCGGATCATAGTTCGGACTGTCACTTAGCTTATACCCTTAATGCCAATCCTATAAAAGAATGCATCTATTCCACGATAGTGCTCTTCATACTCTGCTTTCCAAAGCTATCCCATACCTCTGCTCTCCATCCCCCGGTTGGATCTTGCTCCAGTAATATTCGATACGGCTCATCGACGTATAGCGGGCTCATAGCACGATATGCTATCGACTTGGGCACTGCCTCTGTATCTCTATTCTTACTCGTATCCCGCCAAAAGTCCAGCATGTTGATGAGATTGAGCGGCCCATGTACAACAGCATTCCTGTGGCCCTCAACCTCTCGACACCACTCAGGCAGATAGTGTATCTTGTGCGCATTGAATGTCAGCGCTGAGAAGCGAAATAACGAAGTAGGCGTTTGGCAGAAGTCTCTTTGATGCCTCCCAGTCGGCAGTACTTTCTCTTCTGGCTTTGGCGGTGCCTTCATTGGATTCTCAGGTAAAAGCTCACGTTGAAACACCCAATTTCGGCGGTCCGTCAACGCGATACCGTGATCGTTTGAGAATGTCTTCTCGACACCCACGAGAAGCATTTCTCCTCCATTCTTCAAGGTTTTGGGCTCAGCACTCAGCAGTTTCGTCGTCTCTTTGACCTCTTGACCCACTCTCAGCAATGCGTTCCTGTCTTGCGCCCACGTCAACTCGCCTCCAGCCCACATTCGTCTACTAAATGGACTCAATGGGTTTACAGTGCGATCTGTGCCATCAAGTCCCAATTCGGCCTCAACGATTGAGGGAGTGAAGTAGACTAGGTGGTAGCCGGGTGGAATCGGCGTACCGGTTGGTGGCGGGTTGAAAGAGGAGGGTGTACGGTTGAGTGTTATGGAGAGCAACTGAAGTTGATTTGCATCAAGAACTTGTTTACGGATCGAGACGGGCCCTCTTTGGAATCGTGTGAGGAGTTCACTACATGCTTCCGCTGCGGAGGCTTGGCGGTAGGAGGGAGTTGTAGAGAACAGGCGGCGGGCCACGGATGTCATGATACAGCTATTTTCCTATCACCCTGGAGCACCTAGAAACTGCTCACAATGAATCTGATGATGCGAGATGGACAAAGTGATGGTCGACAACTAAAAAGGTGGAGGAAGATGCCGAAGGATAGCCGATATCGATAACGTCACCCTTCACGGACAATTTTGGTAACCGACTTCGGCGTCTTCCAGACAAAGCAGACTTCGAGCTTCGGCAACATGTCCGAACCACCACGGAAACGCGCAAAGTTGGCGTGTGTGACCTGCAACGCGCGACGCGTCAAATGTGATGTCACGGATCGACACCCTTGTAGCAACTGCGCAGCCGGCAACGTCGACTGCGAGACGCGTGAATCGAAACGCGGAAAGCACATCAGGAAGCCGCGGGCCGAGGCGGAAGCGCGCAGCAAAACGTGAGTTGAGCACACTTGGAGCGCTCTAGAATAGGTACTAATCCCGGATAGCCCACCAAGTACATCGGCGCTGAGCCCACAGCGACACGAGGATGAGGTGGCAGCGTCACATGTCCTCGCGTCGCTATCGTCGAACTTCCACAGCCCCGTCAACCACACGCCCGCTTCCGGAAGCCAATACCAACTTCACACTCCGGCAGTGTCGGCAGAACAGCAGAGTAACCCACCTACAACAGGATCTGTCCACCAAGATGATGCCGTTTTCCTTGGTGAAAGCAGCTCTTTGCGCTATGTGACGACAAGCGAGGCTGGCGAGCCATCAGAAGCGGCAGCTCATCGCCGACAGTCCTGTTTTCGTCATGCCGTTCCAAGCGCTGCAAGAGCAGAATCGTTCGTTCCAGAGTGGGAATCTGAAAGACGTCTTGCGCGCAAGAAGATCCTACAAGCAGAGGGAGCCTTTTCGTTTCCTCCCGCCGAGGTCCGACTCGAGCTCCTTCAGGCGTACTTCAAGTGGTTCCATCCACACTTTGCAATCATAGACGAAGAAGACTTCTGGGCCTCGTACCAAGACTTTACGTTCTCCGCCTTGTCTTTACAAGCTATGATGTTCATTGGCGTTATTCACTGCGAAGAGTCTACCCTCAAGGCTCTTGGGTGGGGAAACCGTCATCGAGCGAAATGGTTCTTTTACATCAGGGCAAAAGACCTATACGATTCTACGTACGAGACTGACAAGGTCAAAGTCATACAAGCTCTGTTTCTGATGAGCTTTTGGCGAGCCGGTGCGCTATTGGAGAAGGACGCGCGACATTGGCTAGGCACAGCTATTAGTCTCTCGCAAACAAGAGCACTACATCGTTCCGGGGGCGATACTGATGAGGGACGTGCGAGGGTCAAGAGGAGGCTTTGGTGGGCTATCTATGTGCGCGAGCGACAATGCGCATCAGCTCTGGGGTTACCGTGCCGCATACGCGACAAAGATTGCGATATTGAGCCGTTGTCTTCCGCGGATTTCACCTCTGCTTTTTCGCCGTCCACTCCTCTCGAGGACCGCCATAGGTACATTGTGTACACGATAAGTATGGTGCAGCTGGCGGTCTTCCTTGGCAGAGTAGTGGATGCCGGTTATCTGCCGGGACGGGAGCTCGCGCCCGAGGAGAGAGTCAAACTCCGCAACGAGCTTTACAAATGGAGGCAAGACCTTCCAAGTATTATGCAGCTGCATAGCGATGCTGGCGACCCGCCCAACTTCCAAGCCAGCATGCTTCATCTCGCGTACAACAATCTACTCATTCTACTCCACCGCACCAGCTTCGTTGTAGACGAGAACAACAACACATCCGCGGACGGTAATGTAGCGCTACAGGCAGCAGCGCGCAACTCGCGTATAGTCGAGGATATGCTACCGGACGGCAACATTGGGCACGCTCAGATGCACGTCATCACAAACCTCTTCAACACACTATGTATACATGTTGTTAACTTCCGGCGCTCGAACGGCATCAATCGCACACTCGCTGAGCATCGAGCCAAGCTTTGCCTACTGGGCTTGCAAGAACTTCAGAAGACGTGGGAAGTAACCAACTGGGTGTTACAGCTATTTTTCCAATATCTCGACAGAGAAACAGCCTCGAGGCTGGCTATGGAAGCGGATGACGGAGGCGGCGCGAGGAATGTTGGCCAGTCGACTTCGGTCGGCACTACTGCGCAACTGCCGTCGCAGCAACAAAGTATCGATAGCATCGCAATTCGTAACACCCAACATGATATGGAAGGTCCTGCGTCAGCCGCCACCAGCCCTAAGCCCTGGTCATGGACGCTGGACGAAGCGGATCAATATCTTTTCACGCAGATTGAGAATGACTTTGCTTTTGGGGAAGGTACCCTGCAGCAATGGTGTCCAGAGGACGTGCTCATGCCCGAATAAACGGACCCTGTCTCGCCAACATCGGAGCAAATTGGTACGAACACGTGTGGCTCTCGCAATTCACGATTCATTCTTGCCAATAGGTTACTACAGCGCTAGGTATCTCCGCAAGCATTCATATCCAATATCAATCAAAACCTCAGTTGTAGACTGGCCCACTTGGGGCATATCCAGTCAGCCTCGTACCATTTGAAGGCCTGAACTTCTCCTCCTTGAACCAGACATGTGCCGACTCAGACAGCTTCTCGACTTCTGAGAAGGGGAATTCCGGCTTCGATTCAGAGCTCGCAAGGAGGTCGTAGATGCCTTGGGCATAGTCCGGACCAATGTTGTACACTTGTGCGAGGTACTTCTTCTATTCGGGCGTCAGTATGCGTGGTACTATGGAAAGATGCAGGCAAAGACTTACCTGAATGTCAGCATACTTGACAAACTTGAGCATGTTGAAGGTGTTGGTGATGGTGTGTTGCCTCCTCTCGGGCGACATAACCCTGCTCCACAGCTCCTTGGCTTGGTCGTACTCGTTCTTCTTCGCCTCATGCCAGTAGTGGCTCTTGCGGCTCATAACATTGTCTGAGACCTGGTACGGCGCCTCAGCAACATCAGGACGGAACTTGTGCGCGAAGCTGTTGGGGTTGTATTGCTTGTTTCCTGCGTGGTTGGCATCGACACGCATCTGACCATCGAACTGGAGAGGCGCGAAGGACTTTGACATGAAGGGGCAGTTGACGGGGATCTGGTGAAGATTTACGCCTGCAGGAAGTCAGTATACGTCTCACATGCACTGCTTACAGGCAAAACTTACCAATGCGGTGGTACTGGGCGTCGCGGTAGAAGAACATGCGGAATTGGAGCAATGGATCGGGCGAGTCCTCGATACCGGGGACCATGCTGCCGGGTGAGAAGGCAGCTTGCTCAACGTCGCGGTGGTAGTTCTCAGGGTTCTTGTTCAGCACAAGACGGCCAAATTCCTGCATGGGGAACTGCTTGCGCGGCCAGACCTTGGTGACATCGAAGGGATCGAAGCCAAGCTTCTCGGGATCCGCATCCTCAGGCTCCATGACTTGCACCATGGCGGTCCATTCGATCTCCTCACCCTTCTCAATGGTCTCCCACAGATCGCGCTTGGAGTAGTCTGGGTCTTCACCGCACATCTGTGTCGCTTCTTGCTGGGTGAACTGCTTCTGGCCGTGCTTGGCAATGAAGTGGTACTTGATGTATACGAACTTGCCCTCAGCGTTGACCCACTTGAATGTGTGGCAACCGTAGCCGTGGTTGAAGCGCCAGCCAACGGGAGTGCCGTGGTCACTGAAGAACATGAGACCGGCATGGTTGCTCTCGGGTGTGTTTGCCAACAGATCGAAAATGGCATCGTAATCAGGAAGGAAGTTCCTTGGGTTACGAGCTTGCGAACGGATCACGTCTGGGCCTTGAATAGGGTCGCGGCAGAAGAAGATAGGGAAGTTGAGGCCAACGATGTCGTAGTTGCCCTCCATGGTGTAGAACTTGATGGCGAAGCCACGGGGGTTGCGGGCTTCATCGGGGTATTCGCGACCGACCGTAACCGTCGAGAAGCGGATGAAGATGGGAGTCTTTTCGCCTACACTGGAGAGGAAGTTGGCTTTCTAGGAGAAGTCAGGTTTGGCAGTTGTGAGATGATCAAGACAGACGTACCGTAAGAGCGTCAACCTTCTTGGTGCACTCAAAATATCCAAACGCGCCGGAACCGCAAGGGTGCACCATACGCTCAAGGTTCTTGGAACGGTTGAACGTCTGCTGCTTCTGGAAGAGGAAGACATCGCTGGCCACGGGGATTCCACCGATAGTCTTGCTGTGTGCGCTATGAGACGTTAACGACAGTGTTCTTGAGGTGTGCGGGTACTCGCGAACTTACGGGTCAATCCACGGGATACCTTCGTTGGAGGTAAAGTAAGGGCCATCATCCTCACGCTTTCCGCCTTGAACTGCACCCGTTATCTTCGCAGCGATATCCGCAGGACCCTCGTTAGCTGAGCCCATGTGGCTCTGCCTTGGCGCACGTTTCTCTCCAGTAGCGCTTTGGATACCCTGAGAGATGGCCTCGAGGGGGTGTTGCATGGGGTCATTTTGGGAAGCGTTTGCACCGGTCGACATGGCTGCGGTCAATTTGCCTGGTAAAGATGTGGGAATCTCCATGAAGAAGCAACAGCGGGTGCGAGTTTAAGAGGGCCAACTTGGAGGGCACGCCATTGCTGCATACATGGGCAACGGGTGACACGGGTATTTTCTATTTTGTCACGTTGATGCGTCTCTGACGCGTAGAGGAGAGGGGTAAGATGCCACGACTTCACGTGCAGGGACAGTTGACAGCTGGATTGGTGCTTCGAGGCTTAGTGCAGCAGGTATCGACAACCTGTGTGGATTAGATGCTGTCAATATTTGTTTAACCAGGACCGCTTTTAGTGGGCAATACCTTTTTGGAAAGATAAGACTAACACTTAATCGCTCATTCGCCGTGGCAGTTGCAGTCCGCGGATGCTGTGGAGCGCAGTGGGTAAAAAGGGCATGGGAATTCTAGACTTTCGCATGTTTCGGCATGGTGGCAATGTGACGTTTCCGATCCGCTGCATCCTGCATCATCAAGACGTCGCTCCGCGGAACACTACTCCACCTTGCAACAATTATCGGTA